TTGTTACCCAAAAGAAAACCTAAGAGGGGGGGTGAGTTAGGTTTTTACAATTAAAATTAATAATACCCTAATAAAAATTATGACTAGCACAATAGATAAATATAATTAATGAAATAAAAATAATTAAAACAAGTGTCTTAACAACTATGTCAGTTAATGATTTTAGCACAGTAAAAATGTGAAATATAGCTATGGCAATTTAAAATAAAATAAAAAGATAAGGGAGAGAGAGGCAAACAAATTTGTAGTGGTTCGGCTTCAACTCGGCCTACGTCCACTCCTCAAGCTTCACTTGAGATTTTCCACTATCTTCTACATTCACAGGGGTGCTAGCAACCTCTTTACAAATGGAGCAATCATCCACAGATTTCACACAGACTTCACAAGTCTAAACCCTTGCAAATCTTAGGTGATTCACAATCACTCTCAAGATTTCAAGAACACAGTGTTTGTAACACTTGTACAGGATAAAATAGTATTTTTGCTTTCAAAGAAAGCTTACAATAAATATCTCTCAAAGATAGATATATAAAATGAAACTTGATTTTTCTGTAAATCTTACACAGGAAAGATGAGCTTAAAGCTTTAAGGCTCAGTATATAATTTCTGAGAAAAGATGTGAGTGATTATAGATCAAAGAATATTTTCAAGTTTTTTGTAACTTGTTTACATTAGAGGCTTTGGTGTATGTAATGAAAATTATAGCCGTTTATAGTCGTTGTATTCATTTGAATTTATAGCCGTTTATAGTCGTTGTACTTCCATCATTACCAATTTGAATATCTTCCACTCCATCATTACTAATTTGAATATCTTCCACTTGAACCTTTTGAACCCTTTGGCCTTTTAAACCTTTATAGCCGTTGTACTTCCATCGTTACTAATTTGAATATCTTTCACTTGAACCTTTGTTTTGGGCTGTTTGAACTCCTGATTTAATCAAATATTAAATATATTCTAACAACATTTAGGATAAAGGTTTAGGTGAGAATAATGAGACAAAATAAATTTTGATTCTATTTTTCTCTTTCAAATAAATAATCAAAATAAATTTTGATTAAAATATAATTAAATAAATTTTGGATTCTATTTTTTTCTTTCAAATAAATTAAAACATAATTAAATAAATCATCAAAATAAATAGGTCTAACAACAACAATTTAGGGATTGTGTTTGCATCATGTTTTTCATTTTCAATTTTCATTTTTTGAGTTACGAAAGATACAATAAAAAGTTTGAAAACACAATTGGCATTGTCTCATAAAATCATAATCATATCTGTTGCAATGGATTCAAAAGTTGTAATTCTTTAACACTTTTGAACATGTAACTAAATCAACATTTCATTGAGGCATTTAAACAAACATCTCAAATTCACAAACAACTCAACCCAAAATTCTACAGATCAATAGCCACCACAAATCTACAGACTTACAAATGTAAGAATAGTTCCAAATGGGTTAGAGAAAACACTCTATTAATGCTTCATTCAGAAAGAGTGATTTGATCCAAGTTGACCAGAAAATTTTCATTCACTACAAAACATAAATAAAATAAAAAATAAGTTGCACTTTATATCAGCAAAAATTAACAGAGTATCAGGAATTAGGGGTGAGCAGCGGATATATCGATCCGCTAAAACCGACCGAACCGAACCGATCCGCCGCATTTTGGACGGATGCGTGATGACGAGCGGACGGTTGCGGATTGATTTTCTCCAATCCGCCAATTTGGCGGATGGATAGCGGATTTGAGATTTCTTTGACCGCAACCGAACCGCCAAACCGCGAGCACCCCTAGTAATTTATAAGAGTTTGTGTTTTCAATTTGTTTAAATATTATGTTTGTGTTTTCAATTGAAAAAGAGTTTAAATATTATGTTGAAAAAAAGTTTTCAACTTGAATATATTTTTTGAATTGAAAAAAATAAACGTATTATTTATCTATATTTTTTAGTTTTTAAATCTAACTCTAAAAATAATAAATAGAAAATATGATATATGCTGGTTGGTTTTTGTTTTCAAAAACATATATAGATGTAACAATACAGAGACATACAATCTCTACTACTGCTCTGTTCATGGTTTTGGTGGTTTGAATTGTTATTATATTTTAAGAACCACAGATTGTAATACTTTATGTGGATGAATCATGCTGTGATGGTAATATGTGGATGAGGCATGCAATGATCGTGATATTCTAAAATTTTAAACTTTCTTTCTTTAGATAAGGCATACAGTGATTGTAATACTTTTTTAAGTCATTGATTGTAATACTTTTTTTTTTTTTTGAGAAAATGCACGAGTTGAATTGTGTTGAAAATTAATAAAATTTTAAACCACCAAACCGATTCGCATCCATCCGCCAAACCGCTAATCCGCTCAATCCACATCTGCCAAATTGGCGGACGGATGCGGATTGATTTTCTCCAATCCGCCAATCTGGCGAACGGATGGCGGATTAGAGGTTCCGTGGCCGCAATCGACCTGCGCCCACCCCTATCAGGAATTTGTTAAGCAAAATGAAACTATCCAGTTAGACATTTCTTCAAACATTTGCAGGGCATTGTCTAACCCAGATTTGAAATCAAACAACTATGTCTATTTTGTGCCAACAAAAAAGAAGGGGAAAATGAAATAGTGCAGGGCATATCCACTGAAATACAACTTCAAATGGTGGTGGAATTTCTTGTTCTTGGTAGTGATGGGTGTGGACGTTTTGAACTTCAATCATCTTTTGTAGGAAGCTTCCCCAAACAGGTCGCCTAATAAAGGTGATCTCCTCCTCCTGGGTCTATATATAGAGTGGGTCACCGGTCGCAGGTGAGGCTGGGTTCGGTGGAGACTCTGTGTGTGTGTGTGTGTGTGTGTGTGTGTGTGTGTGTGTGTTTGCCTGTGTAAGGAGACATCGGCCGGTCCTGTTTCAAGAGCTTTTTGCCGTCGTCGGGAGTGGGTCGCCGGTGAGGATGGGTTCGGTGTGGGAATGGAGGAGAAGGGGGCTGAGTGAGAGCGAGTGAGTGTATATCAAAGCTGTGGTCTTGATTGGGCGGGAAAACAAAAATGAATTTGTTTTGTTTTGAATTTTTTTTTTTTTAATAGCTGTTGGATCTGCAACGGTTGATCTTAGTCGTTGCCAATAGGAAATGAAGGAGGGGCATCAAGGAGGGGATCCGGACTCGGATAGCCACTCCTAATACAACCCATTGTTTAAAAAGTAGAATAAATTTTTTTTAAAAAAAGCTATTTTTACTTGTATAGTTTATCTCTCTCCACTTTCCCTTTCTACTTTCACATACATCAAAATAAAAATGGCCGAAACAGTCGTTGGCGGCCAACGGCGACGGACGACGGACGATTGGACACCTGAACAGTGAGGTGGAGAATATAAATAATAAAAAAAAAAGTTTAGGCAATTAGTTTGAAAGTTTTAAATTTAAATTTATGGTCCGAGTATTGTTTTTCTCATCATTTTTCTAATACAAAAATGAAGAGTAAAAATAAAAAAATAAAACTTTATTCAAGATAATTTTTTTTTGGGAAATTTTATTTCAGTGGATTAGTGGTAGGGATGTTTGTGGATCAATTTTTTGCGATTCAATTTGTGGTTTGGGTCCATCAGTATGTATGCGGTTTGAGAAAAATTAAATCCGCAACCGCTCGTAATGCGGGTTGCTATTTGTATGGATAGGATTTACAGATATATAGGTGGTTTGTACATTGAGCTTTTTCCTTTAAAAATTTATTTTTTGGCTTTTTAAAATTTTTTTTTCCATTTTTAAAAGATTTTTGCTTGCGAGATATTCAATATTATCCTCCATTAAAATTGGATTAAAAAAAATTAGAATGAAAATTAAATAAAAACTAACATAGAAAAAAAAAATCACATAACTAGATTTGTAAAAAATTAAAGAATAAACATTTTAAATATGGCAGTGTATGATATTATTATAATGCCATAATATTAGAGCCTATAGGTTTGTTAATCAAATTGAAATGAGTGAGAGAAGAGAAGATTAGGGTTACACACTTATAAAACTTACAATAAAACATAATGGTCCAGATTAAAAAAAATAAAATAAAAATTGTATACAAATGTGGGCGGGTGAGTGCAGGTACGGGTAAAACCTGTAATCCTCCCGCAACCCACAAAACAAAAAAAAATCTTAACCCGCATCCGACCCTAACGATTATACGAAACCACCTCAATAGGCTCGAATGGTTCGGGTTTGGCAATTTTTGCAGGTCGAATAACCCTATGCCTAGTCCTAATCATGGTAAAAAAATTATATTTTTATGATGGTGCAACTCTTCTGTGTGTATGGTGTAAATTCATTCATGTGCTTGGTACAACTCTTCATGTGTGTCAGAATTGCACAAAAAAAACAAAACAAATTTTTTTTCTAATTTGTAACGTAATTATTTTGTGATTGTCCCATGCATTCACAATATTACCATTTTCTGTTGGTATTTTATCTCTTTTATTTTGTTTTTACTTTTAGGTCCAGTTTGTTTTGATGTCAAAAATATTTCTCATTTTTCGTTTTTTTGGTTGAACAAAAAGCAAGTAAAATATTTTTTAAGAAAAATATTTTTGTATCATTTTCTAAAAAATGACTACTTTTAAAAATTTTGAAAGTTAATTTTTATAAAGTTGACTTTTACTCACTATTTTTTCAACATATATTTATCATTTTTAAATAAATATCTTAACTCAATAAAAAGTTATAAACTGACAATTTATTGAATTAAATTTTTTCTTTTAGGCAATCAAATGTTTTTGTTTCAAATGTCAACCAAACTTCAAAAATAAAAATAAAAATATATTTTCTATACAAAATTAATTTATAAAAAAATATTTTTTTATGTAAAATATCTTATGTCGAACAAACGGGCCTTAATGAAATGTAAGGCCTACAAGTCGCAAGCTGGGTACTGGACTAGTTAGAAAGAAGAAGGCCCGGCCCATTTGATCCATCTGATACCCCAAATTCAGTGGCCGTTAGTGTAAAAGGTGGGCGCACCGAAGAAGTTTAAACCTACCTAACAATGGAACCCAAAGACCAAACTCCACTCGCCATCGACTCCGTCGACTCGCCCGAGTTCACTCACTTCACTCGGTCTCTGAGTCGTTCGTCGGTGATCGGACTCGACGCCGAATGGAAGCCCCTTCGCTCTCACGAGTCCACTTTCCCAACCGTTTCGCTCCTCCAAATCGCTTGCCGACTCAGCGTCGACGGCGAGTCATCGGTTTTTCTACTCGACCTGTTAGCGATTCCTCTACGCTCAATCTACCCACTGTTAAGGGACGTGTTTGTCTCGCCTGGTATTCTCAAATTAGGGTTTCGATTCAAGCAAGATCTTGCTTACTTGTCTTCCACTTTCTGCTCTCAAGACTGCGATCCTGGCTTCGATCGGGTAAACTCTCTTTTTTGTATGTTTGGTTGCTTAGAAAACGCAGGAAAGTAAATAGTTGATGAAAATCATTGAATTTTTTGGTGTTTGAGATGAGATTGTTAGTCAATTTAAATCAGAACATAGTTGAAAAGTGATTAAAGTAGCTGAGTTTAAGTAATTGGGGCTTGGGTTTTTGTTCAATTGAATTTGGAATGAGATTAATGTAGCTTACCTTGAACTGGATTAGTTTTTCATTCTCTCTAAGCTGAATTATGAGTAATTTATACATATTAACGTATTCGTCTTCCGGCGATAACATCATATCGTAATTTGCTGGAAAATGGTAAATAGGTGGAACCCTTTTTGGACATTACAAGCATATACAATTATCTTCAACACAAGCAACAAGGAAGAAAGATACCGAAGCAAAACAAGAGCTTGGCAACAATTTGTGAGGAAGTGTTGGGGATTTCTCTCTCGAAGGTTTGGGTTTTAAACGCCTGCATTTTCTTCATTTGAAGAGTTTGACCTGAATTACGGTTCTACCTTATGGCGGTTCTTCTTGGAGTCGTCTGTGTTTCTTTTTGTTGGGGGGTGGGGGGTGCTTGAAATTGAATTACATTTTAAAAAAGTACATCTAATAAATTTCCAACACAACTATATTCTGTTAGGAGCTTCAATGTAGTGATTGGTCACATCGTCCTCTTACAGAAGAGCAAAAAGCATATGCAGCTGCAGATGCACATTGTTTGCTTGAAATATTCAATGTCTTCCAGATCAACGTTATCAAAGAAGGTTTGTGATGCTTAATAATTGAAACTTATTAAACTTTGTGGCCTCCCAAAACAAATAAAACATACTGGTTATGTTATGTCAAATGCCATTCTCTTCATGGTGACACACTATTGTCCCCTCCAACCAAAATTTATAACTTATTCTAGTGCAGCACCACATAGAATTGAAACGGTTGCACCACACTTAAATAAATAGTGTACAGAGATTTATAATGTGAGTGATGTGGGACTAAGGGATGAGTGTCCACTGAAAATTTGGTATGAGCACTTTGCTTTTCTAAACACCTTTGCAGTTGAAGGATCAGAAGCGGTGTCCACAAGTTCTTAAGAAATTTAATGGGACTGTGTTTAAAAGTTACTGAATCACAACCATGCATGTCACTAACGTTCAATCGCTTTGATTGTGTAAGTCACTTGGATCACTTAGGATTTTGAATGAGATAAAAAATTTAAAGAAGTACATAAATTATATCATTTTATTCACTACCTTCTTCAGTGAAGGAACATGCATATACATTTGGTAAACCGCCTGTTAAAAGCCACCTGACCCAGTTTGGATTCTGCCTCACTCTGGCCCCCCTCTGGCCCCTTCCCTGATACATATGTAACAGAAAATTAGCATCTGCACATATGAATTATTTAGATTATAATAGGGATTGAATAGAAAGTTAATTGTTGTTTCATGAACATGTTCTATGTGATGTATATTGAGTATAAGAAGTTTTTGTCCTGTATTTTAAGTTAAAGGGAGGCTAAACCACATGATGGACACCAAAAGATGCTAATGATGTAGAACAAGATTTTTAGAATTTTTTATATTTAAATTTTTATGATTTTAGGATTATATTTTGACTAGGATTTTGTTATTTAGCCTAAAGTAATCTAAAAGAGTCAAAACATGATCACAATTGGAGCTAGGGATGATGGAAGTCCAACTTTTGTAAGCTTTACAATTGAAACTCTAGATCATTATGAACAGTTTGAATTTCTATTTTTCCTGATATAAATATCGGCCTTGTGTTTGTTTGTGCTGCATGAAGCCATGAAAGCCTACAAATTGATTAAATTGTGAACCATAAAATATATATATGACTCCTGCACATTGCTTGTTTGACAATGAAATTTAAAGAAACTTCTTATGGTTTGCTAATTTTGGCTTATGTAGTTCTAATATAATCTTTGGGAAGATTACTGTAAATTTCTTGGATTGTTTAATGCAGGGACTTCTTTTCACAATGTTACTGAACTTGGTTTCTCTTATATGGATCTTGGGTTGAAAGAGATTCTTGAGAAGCCTAGTAATTGTGATAAAATTGTGAGGACCAAATTTTGTGAAGCTTCAGAGATTGTCCGTGCTACTACTTGTGAATTATCTCAAAGGATACCTACTGTAAGGAAAAAAGTATCTACACTGTCATATATGAATACCATTCCCTTGGATGATTCCCTCTTGTACATCGTTAGGAAATATGGTGATAAAATTGTATTAAAGGAATCTGATCGAAAACCTAAAACGTCCAAAAAGAAAGGGAAAAGAAAATCCTCTGAGGTGTTGATATGCAAAGAAAGGCGGTTAGAAAGCATTGATGATTGGCAAGGCCCGCCACCATGGGATCTGTCCTTGGGTGGTAATGGATTCCCGAAGTTTCTATGTGATGTGATGGTAAGTGGTGGTACTTTATTGTACATAATTGGTGCTTGGAGATACTTTTGTGCTATGTTACATGGACTCTTCAAAATAAATCAAGTACCCGTGTCGGACACCCGACACTCGGACAAGGGTATGGGATATCTGTCGGATACTTTTCAACGGATACTTCTTATATAATTGTATATAACACTATTATTATATGTACATATTGTTGTATAATTGCTATAAATATCATTTTGACACTATAAGTTAAATATAATACCATTTTATCTCACATATTAGATTAAAAATATAAAAATATAACATTTTTTTGCCGAGTCCGTGTATCCTTAAATTTATGATTTGATGAGTCCGACCTCTAGATACATACCCGCACCCGACACCCGTACCCGAGTCCATGTAACATAGCTTTTGTGATGCCATTTACATCTGCTACTTCTTTTAGAATTTCTACTCTTGTTAATGGCTTAAATAAAATGTTCTGTTTCCTAATTGCTAGGATCATTGTTAGAAAATTAGAATGCTCTATATACTTTCCAAATTGATTTGATGTGAAATTTTATAGATTATGTTCATAGTGTGGATGGATGCTAATATTACATGCACTCAGGTAGAAGGCTTGGCAAAACATTTACGGTGTGTTGGGATAGATGCTGCAGTCCCACATTCTAAAAAACCTGAAACTAGGTATCGTTTGTGTTAATATCATTTTTGTTTTGGAACACTTTCTATAATGTGCATTTGCTATTAGAAATATTACTTCATTTGTCAATTTTTTTTTTTGTTTCATTAGGGACTTAATAGATCAAGCACACAGAGAGAAGAGGGTGCTTTTGACACGAGATGCGAAGCTTTTAAGACATGAATATCTAATAAAAAATCAAATATACAGAGTGAAGAATCTTCTGAAAAATGAACAGCTGCTTGAGGTATTTATTCAATACATTTCAGGGGAGGGGAGGTTGATATTGTTATCTACTAAGTTGAACTTGTTTTTTCTGCCGATGTTTAACCTTTTATGTATGGTAAATCAATAAATAAATGAAAACAGAAAGTTTAGTCGTAAGGTTATTTGTGACACTGCAGGTAAAATTTTGCATAGGAAATTCCCATGGTATACGAACATTGGTCGATAAATATTTCCCTCCATTACTTTCATCTGTTCCCCTTGCATGCCAATTTTGCTTTTTAATACTTCTCAAAGTTGTTACCACATTATTTGTCTATCCAAAATGTATCTTTGAGCTTGTCATCAAACTGACCCTCTGGTATTGTGGAAGCTAAAATTGAGGAATCCTTACAGGTAATTGAAACTTTCCAATTGAAAGTTAGTGAGGATCAACTAATGTCAAGGTGCACCAAATGCAATGGTAAGTTTATTCAAAAACCACTATCAACGGAGGAGGCTGTTGAAGCTGCAAAGGGATTCCAAGTGATTCCCAACTGCTTGTTTGACAAGAATTTACAGTTTTGGCAGTGCATGGACTGCAACCAACTTTACTGGGAGGTAGTTTTCAAATAATTTTTTTCTTTGTGGTTTTACTACTTGTTTTTGAAGATCAAATCATCAATTCAATGTCATCAAACCCTAATTATTTAATGACTCCTTGAGGGAGATGGGTTGACTATGTGGCCATGCTGATGTGATATTTTTGAGAATGATAATAAAGGTTCCGTTTGGTATCACTTATAAGTTATGTAGTTTTTATGACTTAGCCTTTTAGATTATTAGCTTGAAAGATTTAAAATAAGTTGTAAGTCAATTTGGTGCAACTTTTGATAATCTATGAAAAAATTAACCTTGTTTAGTTAAATAAGTTGTAACATAATTTTTTTTTTTTTGTGCAAATGGCCAGAATGCCCTCAAAAGTTGTAATTATGACAAAAAGATGGGGCTCTTTTGTCGATATGTATTTAAAGATTTCAAATAAGCTAAAAAAGCAACAAATTGTAACTTAAGAAAATATGAATTTTCTTTGATCAAATAAGCTGAAAAAGTAAAGTAAGTTATAATTGAAAATTGCAATCAAATACCATTAATCAATTTTTTTAAGTAAATAAACTAAATAAGTTGACTTGTAAGTGCTACCAAACAGGCCCAAAGAAGATTGATACTCAAAGTTTTTCTTCTTGATTTGTTATTTAAGAATGGTCCATCTAGTGCTTAATGTGTTTAAGAATGACAAGTTTGCCGTGTGCGGCAATTTCCTTGTGAAGAAAGAGAATGTGTCATGTAAGGACCAAATTTGGTCCTTGATCTGGGAGCAGATTCCTACTGGCTTAAATAATGTTTACAAGCTTGGCATGCATTTCTACAAGCAATGGGGAGAATGGGGTAATGTGAGGTATGTTTAATATTCAAAGGATTGCAAACCATTTCACCAGACTGTTTTGCGTGACCCTCATACGTCATGAGATGCTGTTTGTTTTGCCAAGCCAACATGGAAGCAGTATGTAGTCAATAGAATAAAAAGAATGCACAAATGTTAATTAATCTGTGTAAAGCAAAAACTTGTGCCAATTTATTATATGATTCTCTTGTGGGGGAAAGGGGATCCAAACCTTTCCTTGAGGTGGAACAGTTTGTTTCTTACTTTATTTGTTGTATTAGAGCCTGTAAGGAAATCCACTTAAACAATCATTTTCTCCCGTTCCTAATTGTGCATGTTTATGTCTATCTTGGCCTCAATAACCCATAATATGACAAGGGTTGATTTATGTTCTGTTGGCATTTTTGTTTATGGAAACTCACATCAAACTTGTCACAACTTGTAATTTTTGTTGTGATTCAGGATGGAGTATGTTGTTAACGTGTAATATTGTTTCAGGGAACCCAATACCACAATGCAGTACAGAAGTTCATCGATGTTTGCAAGCTAAATGAGTAACTTGAATGCCATAGTCATTGTCGGTATTGGTAATGGAGAATTGTAACAGTTACATTGAGTGATTTTATTTCAAATATTGTAATTATGTTGTATTTGCTCCTGTTGAAGAAATGTACAATGTCATCACTTTCTGTTCCTGCAATAAATATTCAGTCGAGTTTTGGTTCATGAATGAAGCTCAGATTCTTCTGTTGCTAATTGCTTGGATGAGAGGTGTTTTGCAACAGCCAAGACTCAAACCCTTGATAACTCAGAGTCCAGATCCTCTCCTTGGAGGATCTCTACATGGCTCCGTACTTGGTAGGCCGTTGGGCCCACTTTTAGACTCAATTTTGATAATTCAAATCGTTTACATTTTAAGATTTGTTGAGTATATTATACTTGTAAAAAATCAAGTCGATTGAATATCGGAAATCACGTGTTTGGATCATCGAATTAAAAATCGTTTTACTAAAAAATAAAACTGTTTATTAAATTTTTTTTAATAAACAATTTTTAGTTTGATGATCTGAACACGTAGTTTTTGATATCCGATCAACTTAATTTTTTACAGGTATGATATACTCGATAAATTTTAAAATATAAACGGTTCGAATCATCGAAATTGAGTTAAAAAATAGGCACAATGACCCATCAAGTAAGGAGTCAAGTAACTCGATAACTCGTGTTTGTTGACCGGAATCAAAGGTATTTAACGTCTGTTTCATCGACTGGCTTATCTTTCTGAACGCTTTGTCAAACTACAGATTTTATTGGCTCGCGGGACAGGTGCCATGGAATGGATGGTTTGTCTAACAAACGCTTCAGGAACTTGTGTGTGTTTTTTTTTAAAGTCTTTGTTGCAGCATCACATCCATTATTTGTTTGTACATTGTCTTGCTGGAATTGTGGTGGCACAAAAAAGCAAGATGCCTATTGCGGTAAGATTTCTGAATGAGAGCGGTACATTTAACTGTGAATGTAATACAAGGATATATTTGATTATATAGTAATCATAACACTAAGATTAAGGATTGGTTTGGAATGTTTTAAAAAAATATATTTTTTGACTTATTAGTTTATATGGGTTGAGTTTAGGTTGTGTTTGATGTGATGTGTTAGAGAGGTGATGTGATTTAAATAAGATGATGTGACTTAAATAGGATAGTAATTTTTTTACTTTTTGTATTATTTAGTAAATGCCAAACTTGGCCTAAAAAGGAAAGAGATTATTTACATTACCTCACAATCTCTTAACATATATACAAAATATATACTGCCATATATAGAGATACACTAATGTTCTCACACCTCGCTCAAACTCACGGTGTTTGAGTAAAAAACACTGAGTTTGTTAAGAAGAAACTGAAACTGCGCAGTGGTGTGAGTCTTGGTAAAGAAATCAATAAGTTGCAGAGCTAAAGAAACGAAAGGAAGTGAGATAGAGCCAGACTGTAGATGTTGACGGATAAAGTGACAATGAATCTTAATGTGTTTCGTCCGCTCATAGAAGACAATGTTATGGGCTATCTGAATAGTATTGCGGTTGTCATAGTAAAGAGAGAATTTAGAGAAGACTGAGGGACATCCAAAACAGACAAGAGACAATGAAACCAAACAATCTTAGTAGTAGTATGAACCATAGCACGGTACTCAGTTTTGACAGTAGAGTGAGCAACAACAGTTTGTTTCTTACTTTTCCAAGAGATCAAGGAATCACCAAGAAATATACAGAAACCAGAAGTGGACTTGTGATCATTAACATCACCAGCTCAATCAAAATCAGCATAAGCCACCAAGTCTGAAGAGAAAGTAGAAAACAACAGTAAGTTCTGAAATATAGTACTCTGAAGATAGCAAAAAAATCGAACCAAACTAACCCAATGTGTACAACAAGGAGCAAAACGAACTAGCTAACCACATGAATAACATAGGCAAGATCTGGATGAGTAATCGGCAAATAGACTAAGCAACCCACAAGCTCTTGATATAAAGTATGATCATCAAGAGGGACACCATTAGTAGTGTTAAGTTTCACATTAAGCTCAATTGGGATATCATAAATCTTAGTGTTATTAAGACTGACACGACGAATAACCTTATTTACATACTTGGCTTGAGATAAAAAATAGCCCTATCTCAATACCAAGAAAATACTGCAATGAGCCCATATCCTTCATTTTGAAGGTGCAGAAGAGATGCTGTTTAACCTCAGAGATAGCAGAAGAGTTGTCACGACCCAAACCCGTCCCTATAGGCTTAGCGCCGTAACCGGCTAGTAATCCTTGGATTACCAAAGGCCTCTTAACAGAATAACATATAGTTAGGGGCTGCGGAAGCAAATATACAAAATAAACGTAGTCCATTGAGCTGTGAAAACATACATGTGACAGATAATTTTAAAATAAAAAAAAATAAAAATTTTATAAACTTGCGAGTGACGTCAAAAGATACAGTATTTACACGTCACTCCATGAACATATTATCAAAGATCTTGCCCGAAAATCAAAAGAAACAAAGTCTAGTACATTCACAAAAACAACCACTAAACTTGACTTGATCTGGAACTTCCTTGGGAGGCACAAAGGTTTGTTGACAAAAATTGAGACTCCAAGTCCTCAACTCTGAGTCTGGTCATGTGCCTGATCACCTACATACATAATATAAATAGTGAGTGGAAGCCGAGTGAATAATAACGGAGTAAAGGATTTAATGAATGAAATCCATACCAGATTCAGAAATCATAATTCAGATTCATAAACAGATTCATATTCATATCCTTGTTCAAATTATACACAGAAGTCAGAGTTCATACTTAATTATACGCGGTACATCCATTAGCGCTAACAGAGCAGATATAGAACAGATGCAGAACATATGGTGGTTATAAGTAACCAGTTCCATAAAGGAACCTCCGGATCCGGGTATCAGACAGATATGCTGAGCTCCATAGTGGAGCTTCTGGTATGGGTAACAGATTGCAGACATATTAAATTCCATAATGGAACCTTCAATATCGGGTAACAACTAACAGATATCACATAATACTAAGGATGCCACGAATACATTGTCAAAAATTGGACAATCATACATTGCATAGAATATAGTATTTCAGAAAACAGATCTTATTTTATCATACAGAAAGTAAATAAAGTTAAACATAGCTTTACTAAGTTATTACTTACAGTTGGCTTCGGGTGCAGACAGGCAGAACAGACTAATCAAACGGTTTACAGCATGTGACCTACATTAACACATAATGAATACACATTTGAAACACACGTTGGAATATATCTAACTCATTACGTTTCATTCATAGAATATATCTAACTCATTACGTTCCATTCATAGTGCGTTTCTGCTTGTTACCCTCATTATTATGTCTTAAACTTGGCCTAGGAATGTCTAGGATGGAATGAGGATGCAAAAATGCATTTGAAAACACTTGATCGAATTTTCTGAAAACAGGGTCCCCGCTCGAGCGTAGCTTTCTTCGCTCGAGCGAACATGCAAAATGTGAGGGGACGCTCGAGCGCAACTTCCTCCTCTCGAGCATTCTGTAAACTTTGAAAAAGTTCTACTTAAGCGATTTTTACGCTCGATGAGCGCTCGATGGTCGCTCGAGCGTGAGACTTATGCCCCTGCTTAAGCGCAACTCTTACCGCTTGAGCTGTCTGCAAAAACATGAAACTTCTGAGAGCATGCATTTCATGCTTGAGTGAACTTCTGGTCGCTCGAGCGAAGATGCAAAAACAAAGGTGGCTGCTCGAGCACAGAATCTCACGCTCGAGTGGAGAGCAAAATTCTGGAATTTTCAGATTGCTCTTTTTTGCTCAAAACTCAAATTCCACACCTTAAAACTCATCTTTTTGGGCCAAAATTTTGGAAAACATGTAAGAACTTGTAGAATATTACGATTTGAAGATCATTTCATAAAATCAAGGCCCAAAAGTTTATCAAACATACAAGAATTCAACTTGAAATGTAAGAACATGATATGAACTTGTCATGCATATATTCACTTGAGTTCTCAGCTTTCAAAACATGATCAAATGAGATGCATTGATGGAAAACAAGATGAATTCTCAAAGCTAAGGTAGAATGATAACATGCATGGGAGAATTCTTTGAAAACTTCCCGAAGATGCCATGATATAAACGTGCATGTATGGAATGATCTAAACTCCTTCATTTTAGCTCAATTCTAGCATTACACAACTTAACTCTTTAAAATCATGTGCTAAGTGACTCAATCCTACACTAGAAGGTTGAATTTCTTACCTTAGATGATCAACTATGCTCTATAGAGGTAATTGTTTGAAGTTCCAAGACAATCTCCAAGTTTTCTAGCAATTCTTTTGCTTGAATTCAACTCTCTTAGTCTCTCTCTCTCTCTCTCTCTCTCTCTCTCTATACGTTTTAAGCTCAACGAAGAGGAAATGAGGGTGCAAAAGTGTATAAGAGCTGTTGAGGTGGCCTTACATAGGCTTGGCTAATGGCCTAATTAATTTGTTGAGTAATTAATCAATTGGGAGGTGGCCTTACATATTTAATTGTTC